GTTGAGAGTAACTCAGTGATGACTTCTTCAACTTGCAGAGGCGATTCCTTGGAGGTGCAGGGTAACTGAATATTCTTCGTGACTGCATCATCAATCAACGGTATAGAAGGCAGTTTAAGATTACTATCGGTAAATTCTTGTATTTCTATAGGTGATTCTGTAGAAGCGGGGGATAACGGAATGTCCTCTTGAGTAAGATTTGACTGTGATCTCATAATCACAGTCTCTTGTGAATCTTCTAATTTTTCAAGGTCTTCTTCAGTTTTTATCGAATGTCAAACAATTCTCCGGCATGGACAAACTTTTTCAAACCTTTCTCGCGCATCTGACAACGGCTCAATGAGTTTTTCACAGCCTCGTACAGTCAACACATCACACCTTTGAATTATTTGATAATCTCGAGATGATTCTTTCTTCTTGGAAACTTTTATTTGCTTTACATCTTCAATTATGGAATCTTACTTTGGTTTGTTATTAAAACACTACATATTATATTTTAAATCTTCGCTAAAAAGGTTTGCGAAGAATCTTTTCTTGATTTTACTCACCAATTCGGTGCTTGCTTGTTTTCTAGGATTTAAATTTATCTACGTAAAAAGAAGGAGTGGGGAAAGGAAGTGAAAGAAACAAACTTTTGAACTTTAACGATACGGAAGCCGTTAATGTGCAGATTACCTAGATACTCTGCAAATTACCTAGGTAATTTGAGAAATGGAATAATTTTCGCAGCTTTAACGGATCACCCTAGTTAATCTGCAGATTACCTAGGTAATTTGAGAAATGGAATAATTTTCGCAGCTTTAACAGATCACCCTAGTTAATCTGCAGATTAGCTAGGTAATGTACACATTAACGGATTTCGAGCTTTAGTGGTAACATATATATTCAATACAAATGGTAAATCCTACCAACATTCCTTCCATAGCTCTTATTTCATAGGTCAAATAAAATATATAGTAAAACCTGTATAAACCAGAATCACATGGTACCAAATATTTTTTCCAGTTTGGCAGGCTTTTGTTTTGAACAGGTTCTTTTTTAACATAGAAAATCACCTGTTCTGAAGAATTTTTTCTGTTTAGTCTGTTTCCTTTTTATTTGGGTTCTGTTTGGACAGGTTTTACTGTATACAGTAATTTAGATAAATACTTTAACTTTAACATAACCAGAAGAAATATTTATAAAACCCAGAATCAGACAATTAATTTACTGCACAAATTTGGGATTCCCACTGCACAATTCAACATTTTCATTACACATTTTATGTCCCGTTTCACATTAGAATATGCACTGATAGAAACACATATGATAAAAGATTGTCATACACACCTATGGCACAATGTACAAAGCTGATGGAAACTGTATACAGTTGACCTCCCTATAACACGGTAGATACATTCCGTTCTTTATGAATCGATTTCTTACGAGTCCTTGCCAATCACAGCCTGGCACGTGTAAAGTTTACAAACCAGCTGTTTGAAAGGTTTTCTTCCATAAAATTAATCGATTCTAGACTAATTCAACTCAACATTTCCAAAATATGTATAATTTTTTTGGGAATAATCTGTATGAACTATGCTATAAACAAAAAATTGTAGGATTACTTACTGAGTGTGCACCGTTTGACATCGCCATTGCTCAAGCTTGTTTTTGTTGCGGAGCAGTGCACCAAACGGCGGGCAATTTCTGATAAGTTATTTTTCTGCGAAAACTTCATTGAACTTTGGAGACATCATTAATATAAATAATTTTTATGGCCGTTGAATAAGAAATGTTTCTTTCACAAGAAATGTATAAAATTAGACTGTATTAGTGCTGTATTAGACTTAAGGTACCTAATTTACATACTTTACAGACGATAGTAAACAACTTACTCGCCTAAACTCTCCGTAGCGTGGCACTGGACAGCGGAAAGTATATATATAATTATAATAAAGTTACAATAAATTAAGTTAATATATAATTATATATACAGTACCTAATTTATATATAATTAATGTATAATTATATGTACAGTACCTAATTTATATATAATACTGTACAGACGATAGTAAACTCAATTTACCCGCCTAAATTCTCCGTAGCGTGGCACTGGATGGCGGAAAGTAGTTTGGCTGCCCGATGACGTTTTACCGAATTATAGGAGTTTTTTTACCAGGTTTGTATGGATACCATCGCAATTTTTTCAGTCTTATAGGATTCGTAATTATAGGAACCCGTGTTATAGGGGAGTCTACTGTATACAGTAAGCACAAAAAGAGGCAAAGTATATATGCTCATTATCACATCACTAAACTTCAAGATTTGTTAAAAAACTTGTCCTTCTTGGTTTGTTTTGATACCACTTTTCTGCCTATTGAATACAACAACCACTTTATATTAGCAATGTCTTGTACTGTACAACCTGTTTGTTTATGCTGAAACTCATCAGGAAGGTCTTATAACTTGGAAAGATTCCATGACCTCATTAAATTTTGGCACTACACTTGAACCAGTGTCAGAATGTTTTCTAGGTGGCTCCTCCTCAATTGTATCAGACTGCTGACTCTCTTCATATAATTCTTCAATTGTACATATCCCAAATGTAGCAAGTGCATTATCAACATCTACAAATTTCCAGACATACTGAAATATTACCTAAACATTGAAAAACTGCAGTTTTTCAATGTTTAGATGAGGCTAGAAAAAAATCTGATATTTCCAGTTATGAATATACCTAAAGGAGGTAAAATTACATTGATTTGGTGAGACCTGGGGAAAAAAATCTATTGTTTATGAAATCTGTTGTTTCACAATTTTGTTGTACAGTAGAATCTCATTTTAACTGGAAAATGGACAAATATTTTTCATTAATTTCTTTTATATTTGCAGAATACAAGGTGCGTTCCATAAGTAATGCGACCAAATTCATAAAAAATCATTTACTGAACATATTCTTACAATTAATCAAAAATCTTCAAAATAGCACCCTCCTGCATTGATACACTTGTGAAGGCAGTGTTTCCAAGCCTGGAAGGCCTTCTCCAGAATGTCCTTTAGAGCTGATGTAACATAAGCCTTGATGTTTTCAATAGTGTCCCAATGTTTCCCTTTCATGGCCCCTTTTAAGCAAGGAAACAAAAAAAAGTCGGTGAGAGCCAGGTTAGGACTAAGGTGGCTGTGGAACCAATGGGGTATGGGTCCTGGCCAGAAAATCGTTGACAATGAAGGTGCTGTGGCTTGGCGCATTGTCGTGATGAAGTTTCCACGTGTCCTTGATGTCTCTTCGGCAGCGTGAGACCCTCCTTTTCATTCATTTGAGCACTTCCAAGTAGAAAGCTGCATTTATAGTGGTCCTGACAGGTACGAATTTGTGGTGGATAATGCCTCTGATGTCAAAGAAGACAATGAGCATGGTTTTGATCCTGGACTTGCTCATGCATGCCTTCTGGGGCGGGGCAACTTGTGCCATCGGAAAACTTGTGATTTAGACAAGCAATCACTCCCAAAGGCCTGCTGAATTAATGTAAAAGTTTTGATGGTGGACTTCCCAAGTTTAACAGAAAATTTGATAGAGTAACGTTGCTCCACAAAATGATCCATTGTGCTATGTTACATTAACTCAAAATGGGGTTCACGGGAATGAACGTCCTCGCCCACTGGTAGCTTGGAAGCAAATGAGACCGAGCGAGTTTTGAAGCTGACACCCCCATGCCACCTAGCACAGCAGGTTAGAACTAGATATGGCGTATCATTGCATCATGAAAAAATTGGTCACATTACTTATGGAACACCTTGTAGACTAGAAGCCATAAATTTTCTGTTGTTCACGGTTTTCTTATTCAGGTAGCCCCCGTATAACACGGCACTTCTGTAGCACGGATTCACTCTAACATGGTTCAAGAATTGGTACCATCCCCGTATAACACGGTATTGTTATAGCATGAATTCACTCTGACACGATTCGAGAAGGGTAAACCCTCGTACAACATAAAATGTAATAAATTTTTACATACTTAAGTAATAATAGTTCACAAAAATAATAATTTTTGTGAACTATTAGTACTTAAGTATGTAAATTTTCTTTTTTCGCCTTCTGTCGATACACATGGTCCTTCTCGAAACTTGTTTCAATGTTCCCAGATCGCAACGCTTCTGCTTCTGATGTTGCCAGATGTTTTTTCCTTATTCCATACTTGCTTTATTCATCGTAAGTGCTTAGCACCATATAAGGAAATTTATAAAGATCTTTTAACTAGAAACAAGCAATCTAAAATTACATACTTTTTGCAAAAGGTAAAGCATGGATCTGAAGATAATGCAGAAAAATGCTCAGAGGATAAGAATAACTTGCCAGAAAGAAAACGCTCTCGGTTAANTCACAATTTGTTATTTTTCAATTAGGTGTGCCACTCAATGAAAAACGTTGAAAAACACTGAGTTAGCCCTACAAACAGTTCATTTACATCCACAACGTAAATAAACAGTTTATAGATACACACATAAGGAAAATATAAGCTTGCATATTACTGATGTGCATGAATCACATTTTCCTTATTTACACATCCATAAATAAACTGTGAATGTAGTGAAATGAGCCTGTAAAATATGCAACGCATTAAAAAACTTGCAATGACTGTTAATAGAGAAACAAGTTTGCAAAATATACAACGTGTTAAATTCAACATATTCCATATTCACTTTATACATTTACTTCTGTATTTACATACCAAAGCAGTTTAATTTAAAGCAAATTATTATCCATACTTTATACAATATTTCATACAAGAAATGACTCAAATAGAATCGAAATAGCGTCTTACATAAAAATAATTATCATATTCAACGATTAATTAATCAATTAACCTACATTATAACTGCTACTTATTGAATTGCAGTTAATAATTAATTATCTATGGAAAGAAAGAAAAAGTTAAATTATTTAAAATTAATATATGAAATCATAACTTTGTTTTAAAATAATGATTTAAATCGACTAGAAAATTCATCAAAAAGCTTACTTTTTAACGGAATAGAAATAATATTTTACGCGAAATAATTTTTTAACCAGACGACAATACAACTTTTCAATGTCTTGAAGCCAAATTGACGTAGAAATTCCTTCGATTAAATCGCCAAATTTCAAATTTTTCAATATATTAATTTTATAAAGTCATAACACGGCAATTTTTTGGAATGTAACTACCATGTTATACGGGGGTTACCTGTATACTGCAAGCACATAGAAAAGAAATGAGCATTAATAAGTTTAAAAATGACTGTTATAATTGAGGAATAAATGAAAATGCTTTGCGGTAGTAATAAAAACAATAGTCAGGCTCAACAATACAATTTAATTATACGGACAAAACTTTTTGTTTGCATCCTTCACAGCCTATTGGTAAAGCCTATAACTGCCAAGCAAAACACTTATTTGAGTCACATCCAAACATCTTCACTACAGAAAACATTTTGCAACAATCAAGTTGTTCAATGTTTGCTTGCTTTGCATACAACAGTGTGTGGAGTTGCACTGCACATGGATCGCCAAATAGAATATACTGATACCCGAATGAAGAAAGCTTCTAAGGGTCAGGTCTAGTAACTTATTATTTTTTATACAACTTATTTATTATCAGTTAAATGCTGATCCAAAGTCTCTCCTTATCCTGTTTTTTAACAGTCAGATAATTTCATATAAAGGATAATAACGTACCTTACTTGTTACTTGTTGGTAAACCATTCTTATATTTCCACTTACATATATATGCATTTCAGATACCACTATTGTGGTATCCTTCTTTAGTATAGACAGAAATTAAACAAAGTACACCATCCTCTTACACAATTCTACATTTCTAAGGATACATTTTCCAATTCTTATCATCACAAGTGTATATTTTTCAATGTACTGTACAATTTCAGGTTTTTTAATGCATACTTTTTTGTTTTTGTTCTCTTTTTTAAGCAACTCTAATACTATAAGACAAAAACAATAATTAAATATTTTCCTTAGAACAAACAGTTAGCCCAGTGTTTTTCAACCGGGGTGCCACGGCTCCATGATTGGGGTGTCGCAAAGTTTAGAGCCTTTAGGCATTTTCTTGAAAATTTACTTAAGTGTAGTTCAAGATAACTCATTGTCAGTTCTATTTTGCTACGAGATATCTAGTAAGCAAAGAAACTATGACTAATTGCATGTTAATGTAATGTTCTACGCTACGTGTACGCATGACTTGTCATGAATTCACCCAAACCACATTGCTTGGCCTTCACGTTCCCAGTCCCAGTACCAGGCCAACCAGCAGAGAGGAACGACATGGACATTTTTGTCTTGTATATGCTTTAAAAAGCGTTGCATTGTACTTTGAAAAGCGTGTGGTTTCAATCACAAAGTAGATGCATATTACAGTATTTTCATAGTATTCAAAAGCAATGATGACAAACAATTTTTTATCACTTTTTTAATTTAAATTTTTTAAATTGATATGAAAAAGATAAGAAAAAATAATGAAATATTTATTTTATATATGCATCAAAATAGTATTAAAAAAACGTAACAAAAATTGTTTATCAATAAAATGATAATATGAAATGATATATTTGATAATAAAACTATATTTAAAAAACAATAGCGAGACTATTATTTTACATGTAGGTATTTCAACAAAATTCAATGAACTTAAATTTTGATTTTGAACACATAGAAATACTTTTGCATTGCACGTAATATTCATTTTCGCAAAAAAATTCATCTGGCCCATTAGTCCCCCACCTTATTCACATTCTAGATCCGCCGCTGGTCAAGGGTGTCACAATTTGTTATTTTTCAATTAGGTGTGCCACTCAATGAAAAACGTTGAAAAACACTGAGTTAGCCCTACAAACAGTTCATTTACATCCACAACGTAAATAAACAGTTTATAGATACACACATAAGGAAAATATAAGCTTGCATATTACTGATGTGCATGAATCACATTTTCCTTATTTACACATCCATAAATAAACTGTGAATGTAGTGAAATGAGCCTGTAAAATATGCAACGCATTAAAAAACTTGCAATGACTGTTAATAGAGAAACAAGTTTGCAAAATATACAACGTGTTAAATTCAACATATTCCATATTCACTTTATACATTTACTTCTGTATTTACATACCAAAGCAGTTTAATTTAAAGCAAATTATTATCCATACTTTATACAATATTTCATACAAGAAATGACTCAAATAGAATCGAAATAGCGTCTTACATAAAAATAATTATCATATTCAACGATTAATTAATCAATTAACCTACATTATAACTGCTACTTATTGAATTGCAGTTAATAATTAATTATCTATGGAAAGAAAGAAAAAGTTAAATTATTTAAAATTAATATATGAAATCATAACTTTGTTTTAAAATAATGATTTAAATCGACTAGAAAATTCATCAAAAAGCTTACTTTTTAACGGAATAGAAATAATATTTTACGCGAAATAATTTTTTAACCAGACGACAATACAACTTTTCAATGTCTTGAAGCCAAATTGACGTAGAAATTCCTTCGATTAAATCGCCAAATTTGAAATTTTTCAATATATTAATTTTATAAAGTGATAATTAAGAAAAATTTAATTATTAAAAAATATTTTAATTTATAAATTAATGTCGTTAACTTAAATAGATCTTTTTTAATAAAAAAAAATTCAGATGCGATCTGTGCTACAAAAGCCATTATATTCATATGAAAAAATATAATCGAGTCTTAAAAATTGTTAGTTCGTTGGTCGATCGCTATTTATTTAAAAAGTGCTGATTTGCATATAATGTACTGTGCATGTAAAATTTTTGTTACGGTATAGCGTTATTATACTCTTTCCGCCTTGTGGGCGGAAAGAGTATAACAACGCTATACCGTAACAGAATTAAACCGTAAAAATGGCCTTGTGGGCACCAAAAAGGCCATTTTTAGCAATTCCATTATGGGTTCGAGCAGGACACAATGGATGGATGATAAAGGATGAACTTGATATATCCAGACGGTCTACTCCCGAAAAATTCCTAGGCTTTTTCGCAGTGCCGGCCCAAGGCAAGTTTTAGGATGGAGCGAGATCCTATTATGGCGCCCCCTTGGTTGCCCCTAATTTATACCCTTTAATTTTCTTTACAATAGGGTGAACGGAGCAGCCGCTCCAGGCGCTAAGTCCTAGGGGGCGCCCCCTAGGACTTAGCGCCTGGAGCGGCTGCTCCGTTCACCCTATTGTAAAGAAAATTAAAGGGTATAAATTAGGGGCAACCAAGGGGGCGCCATAATAGGATCTCGCTCCATCCTAAAACTTGCCTTGGGCCGGCACTGCGAAAAAGCCTAGGAATTTTTCGGGAGTAGACCGTCTGGATATATCAAGTTCATCCTTTATCATCCATCCATTGTGTCCTGCTCGAACCCATAATGGAATTGCTAAAAATGGCCTTTTTGGTGCCCACAAGGCCATTTTTACGGTTTAATTCTGTTACGGTATAGCGTTGTTATACTCTTTCCGCCCACAAGGCGGAAAGAGTATAATAACGCTATACCGTAACAAAAATTTTACATGCACAGTACATTATATGCAAATCAGCACTTTTTAAATAAATAGCGATCGACCAACGAACTAACAATTTTTAAGACTCGATTATATTTTTTCATATGAATATAATGGCTTTTGTAGCACAGATCGCATCTGAATTTTTTTTTATTAAAAAAGATCTATTTAAGTTAACGACATTAATTTATAAATTAAAATATTTTTTAATAATTAAATTTTTCTTAATTATCACTTTATAAAATTAATATATTGAAAAATTTGAAATTTGGCGATTTAATCGAAGGAATTTCTACGTCAATTTGGCTTCAAGACATTGAAAAGTTGTATTGTCGTCTGGTTAAAAAATTATTTCGCGTAAAATATTATTTCTATTCCGTTAAAAAGTAAGCTTTTTGATGAATTTTCTAGTCGATTTAAATCATTATTTTAAAACAAAGTTATGATTTCATATATTAATTTTAAATAATTTAACTTTTTCTTTCTTTCCATAGATAATTAATTATTAACTGCAATTCAATAAGTAGCAGTTATAATGTAGGTTAATTGATTAATTAATCGTTGAATATGATAATTATTTTTATGTAAGACGCTATTTCGATTCTATTTGAGTCATTTCTTGTATGAAATATTGTATAAAGTATGGATAATAATTTGCTTTAAATTAAACTGCTTTGGTATGTAAATACAGAAGTAAATGTATAAAGTGAATATGGAATATGTTGAATTTAACACGTTGTATATTTTGCAAACTTGTTTCTCTATTAACAGTCATTGCAAGTTTTTTAATGCGTTGCATATTTTACAGGCTCATTTCACTACATTCACAGTTTATTTATGGATGTGTAAATAAGGAAAATGTGATTCATGCACATCAGTAATATGCAAGCTTATATTTTCCTTATGTGTGTATCTATAAACTGTTTATTTACGTTGTGGATGTAAATGAACTGTTTGTAGGGCTAACTCAGTGTTTTTCAACGTTTTTCATTGAGTGGCACACCTAATTGAAAAATAACAAATCGTGACACCCTTGACCAGCGGCGGATCTAGAATGTGAATAAGGTGGGGGNCATTTTCTTGAAAATTTACTTAAGTGTAGTTCAAGATAACTCATTGTCAGTTCTATTTTGCTACGAGATATCTAGTAAGCAAAGAAACTATGACTAATTGCATGTTAATGTAATGTTCTACGCTACGTGTACGCATGACTTGTCATGAATTCACCCAAACCACATTGCTTGGCCTTCACGTTCCCAGTCCCAGTACCAGGCCAACCAGCAGAGAGGAACGACATGGACATTTTTGTCTTGTATATGCTTTAAAAAGCGTTGCATTGTACTTTGAAAAGCGTGTGGTTTCAATCACAAAGTAGATGCATATTACAGTATTTTCATAGTATTCAAAAGCAATGATAACAAACAATTTTTTATCACTTTTTTAATTTAAATTTTTTAAATTGATATGAAAAAGATAAGAAAAAATAATGAAATATTTATTTTATATATGCATCAAAATAGTATTAAAAAAACGTAACAAAAATTGTTTA